CATTTTAGCCATTACTGAAACAAAGTGTCATGAGCCCTCCCTACTCCAAGTCCGTCAGATTTGGAGCAGACGACCTTGCCAGTGGGTAGCTCTACCGGCAGAAGGTGCATCGGGGGGCATTTGGGTTATTTGGAAACCCACTGATCACACCCTTGTTTCCTCACATGTTGGGGACTTCTCAGTCGCCATTCTGCTGTCCAGAGTCTCTGATGGCCTGGAATGGACATTCACGGCCATTTATGGCCCCTGCTCTTCAACTAATAGACCGCGGCTCTAGTCCGAATTGGACTATGTTGCGTCTCTCCCCCACCCTATCTAGCCTGGGTAGGGACTTTAATACCACACGGTAGTCCAAACGTAACTCCACCTAGCGTATCTCTCAAGGGATGGTAGAGTTTTTTTACTTTATCACCAGGAATGACTAGCTTGACATTCCCCTCCAAGGTAACAGGTTTACCTGGTTTAGTCACTCTTCCAAACCTGTCCTTTCCAAATTGGATAGGGTTTTGTTTTCCCTTGCATGGGAAGAAAATTTCCCTGGCTCTCACGCTCTCAACCTGCCTAAACCTATTTCTGATCATTGCCCTATCCTTTTGTTTACCTTAGCTGTTGCCAGGGGTCCTAAACCTTTTAGGTTCGAGCTAGCCTGGATGGAAGCAAAGTCCCTCTCCACTCTGATCCCTACCGGGTGGACTTCCTTCTCTGCTCAGATCAGCGGTAGAGCAAGATTCAGACTTCAGTCGAAAATTCAGCTCCTCAAGGCTGCTCTCAAGTCTAGGAGTATGTCTGTTTCGGGGAATTTTAACCTAATCAAGGCCGAACTCCTAAAGACTCTACAAGAACTGGGTAGCCTAGAAGAATCGCGTCCCCTGTCTCTCCCTGAAGCTGACCTCATAAGCCAATCTACACTTAAATACCTCTCCACTCTGAAAAAGGAGGAGATCTATTGGTACCAGAGGTCTAGGGTCAACTGGCTTAAAACACACAACCACAATACCCACTTCTTCCACAAGATTGCTAATTGTCGTAGGAGAGACAATACAATCTCGACCATCAAAGTTAACAGCTATTTTCTGGAACAACCGGCAGAGAATGAATCTGCAATCATCCCTTATTTCCAAAACCTTTACACTGCTACTTGTGGCCATAAACCTCCCATGGCTGACCTAGATTTCCTGAGCCTCTCCAATGAACAGGCCATGTGGTTCGAGCGTCCTATTCTCGAAGAGGAAATTCTTAAAGCTCTGGATGATCTTGCTAAAGACAAAGCTCCCGGCCCTGGGGGTTTCCAATGGCCCCCTTTAAGACCTTTTGGTAGACTTTTCGGTCGGATTTCTTACGCTTCTTCACTGAGTTTTTTCATTGAGGGATTCTTAACAAATTCATCAACGCTATGTTCATCGCCCTGGTCCCTAAGGTTGAAGGGGCAGAGGAACTTAAGGATTTCCAGCCCATAAGTTTGCTCAACTCCTCCTAAAAAATTCTTTCAAAGGTTCTGGCCTCTCGGTTTCAGCAGGTCCTGCCTTCGGTCATCTCCCCCTCGCAGTCGGCCTTTATCAATTGTAGACAAATCCTTGATGGGGTCTTGATAGAAAACGAATGCTTTCACTTGAGACACCTAGCCAAAAACCCGATCTCATTTTTACGATTGACTGGGAGAAGGCCTATGACCATGTTGACTGGTCGGTTTTGAATGAGACTATGGCCAGTATGGGCTTTCGAGATCGCCGGTGAAAGTGGATGAGGGGGAGTTTTTCTCACCCATGCTTCTCTATCCTTATCAATGGTACTCTCAAAGGGTAGTTCCAGTCCTCGAGAGGCCTGTGGCAAGGGGATCCGCTTTCCCCCTTCCTTTTCACAATCTCAGTCAAGGTTTTTAGCCGATCCCTCGATCGACTTTACCATGCTAATCTTCTTTCTGGCTTTGGGTCCTTTAGAAGAGCGCCCACTATGTCACATCTGCAATATGCAGACGACACCATGGTCTTCCTTGACGCCTCCCCCACGGAGGTGGAAAACCTCAGAATCTACCTCAAGTGTTTCCAGAGGGCCACTGGATTCAAGGTTAACATGGTGAAATAAAAAATGATGGGTATTGCCATCACCACCAACACTATTAGAGACCTGATTCCAGAATGGGAATGCAAGGTGGAGGACCTCCCAACTTCATACTTGGGCCTTCCCTTTAAGACTTGGAAAACCTAAAAAGAACCACTGGTCCCACGTTTTAGATAAGGTTGGCTGGTTGGAAAGGGAGGTATCTGTCTCAAGCAGGTAGAACCACCCTTATCAAAGCAACTCTAACCAATGCACCAATATATATGATGTCCGTATTTCAAATACCGGTCTCGATGGCTAATCGCCTGAATCAGCTCATGAGGAACTTCCTCTGATCAGGACAAGCAGATAAAAGTAAATTTCATCTCATCTCCTGGGACAAGGTCCTTTTACCCAAAAATCAAGGGGGGACTGAGAATTAGAAACTTGAGAAAACACAACATTGCCCTTTTAGGGAAATGGTGGTGGCATTTGGCCACCCAAACTGAATCTCTGTGGGCTCAAGTACTTCGAAATAAGTATAATACTCTGGTCTAGTCTTGGATCCTAGAGACTAGACCTTGGACCAATGCTTCAGGGATGTGGAGGTCCCTAACGGCATCCCTTGATTCATTTAGAAAACACATTAGACTACGCCCAAGAGTTGGTACAAGAGTGAGATTTTGGACTGACATATGGATAGGTCATGTCCCCTCAAAGGAAACCTATCCTTTGTTGTTCTCAATCACGGTGAATAGAGATGCAACTATTGAGGATGAGTTCAGAGTCGAAGAAGGAAGAAGACGCTAGAACCCCTCTTTTAGAATGAACCTTTATGAGGGGGAATCTCTTCAATTCCTCTCTCTATCATCTCTGCTCTACAACACTTTTATCCCGGTCCAGGGAAGGGACAAGTTGGTGTGGTCGCTTACCCCTTCAGGGGATTTTACTATGACTTCCTTCTACAAAAGGCTCATCCAACCCCCCACTTTCCCCCTCAATCCTACGTCAATCCTTGCAAAAGTTTGGCTGACCATTGCACCCCCAAAGGTGCAAACTTTTAACTAGATCGCAGGTTCAAATAGGATGCTCACAGTGGATCACCTACAAAGGAAAGGAATTCTTATTCCTAATAGGTGCGTCATGTGTTTGTGCCAAGAGGAATCCAATAACCACCTGTTTCTGCATTGTAACGTGCCTCATGAGATTTGGAGTCTAGTTCTACAACTGTTTGGGGTGCTTTGGGTTTTACCTCCAACGGTAAAAGACCTTTTCGCTTTGAATCTGGCTGCACATTGGCCAAAGGAGGGCAGAATCCTTTGGAAAGCAACTATGGCAGCAACAATTTGAACCATTTGGAAAGAAAGAAATGGGCGTATTTTTCAGGGATAAGTCTTCCCTACTCCTTCGCTATTCTCGAAGGGTACATCCTTAGTAACCTTCTGGGCGGCTAACCACCCCTGCTTCAAGGGCATTCCTATGGACTCTTTCAGCCGGAATTGGGAGCATATTTTATTCCACAACCCGAAGAAAAACAAAGTTAAATCAGCTTAGATTGCTCCTCCCCAAGGAGCAATCAAACTGAATTTTGATGGTTGCTCTTAAGGCAATCCTGGCCACGCAGGTGCAGGAGGGGTCTTTAGAGACCATCTTCAAAACATCCTCTTCTCTTACTCCGAACTCATTAGTGTCCAAGATTCGTAGTTCGCCTAATCAATGGCTCTCCTTAGAGACATACAGAGCTTCGATCGGTCTTGGGGACATACTCTCTTTGTGGAGGGTGACGTCAGGAACATTATCTCTTGGGCGTCCAAGACAGCTTCTCCCCCTTGGTACCTCATGCCCATTTATGACGAAATTGAACATATTTGTGGGGATACGCCAATGTTATGGATGCCTATCTCAAGGACGTCGAACGAGTTCGCCCATACACTAGCTAAGGACGGAGCCATGGCCTGCACTAAAGTTTTGGCACTATAGCGGTTTGTTTTTGGAATGGACACAGCTTGCACCCTACTAGAACCCTTCTGGACTGGGTCCTTTTTTTAGCTTTACTTATATGGTCCTGATTGTATCTTGTTTGTACATCTACAGTTCACCTTGTAAGGGGAAATTCTTATAACCCCATGTTGTATATGGTCTGTTGACTTATTCTTTTTACCAGGAGTCCTAGGTGTTAGGCACTCTTGGACTAAACTTCTTCTCTTGTACCTATCTTTTCATATCTATACAATTGTTAACAGTTATCAAAAAAAAAAAACATTAAGCTTACATAGAAATACTAGGAATTTATTAATACCCAAATGGAAAAGCAAATCATATTGTATCCAGCACACAATCAATATGTTCCATTTAACCTCGACCGTCCATTGTCAACAACAGAGTTCAGATGAACAGCTCCACAGCCCAAGCCCATAAATGTGCACTTGAGCAAATGCTTCCCACGGTTGACAATTGATGGCTGAGGTAACTTACAGCATAGTATAATCCCATAATCCATTTGGCCAAAAAAACACGTATTATTTTGTTGTATCAAACATCATTTCCTACCCAAAATTCTACTCATAGAGAGGCCTACCTCTTATGTCAACTAGCCGAAGCATTGAGCTTTGAAGCACATAAAATTAAGGATCTAGGGCTTAAGCAATCAACAAATAATAAATGCACAGATTCATAACCATGATGAAAATAGGAATCCCAATAAGACTCCTTTGCCAAATAGGAATCCTTTGAAGATACAAAAGATGTCATGAATTATCTATTACATAAGAGTATTCAACTTGTCATACTAGTGGGTACAACTCCCAAATTTAGCCAGCAAAAAATAAATAAGAAAAAACAACACAAGTAATAGGACAAAAATAAACAAGAAGTATTTCAACAGAAAACCATAAAATGCAATGAACAGTAATACAACAACAAAAGTAGTTTTCTGAAAAGAAATATGAGAAAAAGGACCTTACCCGCAATAGAATTTGATTTGGGGAAATCGGTAAAGTTTGTTTCCCAATAATAAGGTTTCCAGTGAAAGTATATAGAGAATTATTTGGCTGTTCACATTGTATTTCACCTGTATTTTTGACAAGTGCAAAAAAAGAAGTGTCAAAGAATGTGCCTACAAGAAAACACATGCTTTAAGCAACAAACTTGAACTTCCAAAAATTAGTCAAAAAGTGATCAGGAACCACTCCAATACATTTCCATCCCACTGATCCTAACAAGAAAAGGCACTCCTTTTGAACCAAAAAAAAAACAGAACAACCATTCCTAGTCATAAGCATCCCAGTCAACTGGCATTTTTTGTACAGCATCACAACACCATGTGGGCATCACACCAAGATTATCAAAACAAGAATGTCCAAGTTATACACATTGAATAATTTTACCCAGAATTGGATATAGTATTCATAAGCCTTGAAATCATAGTTTCTCAAAACAGGAGGGGTAACGAATGAGGGATTCGTGGCAAGAAGAAGTCCCAGTTTGGGAACATCATAGGAATGCTCTCACAATAAACATACATTAAAATGTGAAAACCAAAACAATTAAAAGTCATGATTTCTATATTTTACATACACAGACATATGAGTAATATATTCGTTTTACTTACAATATTGTTTTCTCAAGTAAATTATAAAACTCAATTATTTATTCAAGTCGGATCATATTAAAGTCATGCATAATAATATAGCAAAGTTATTTATTTGATCAATATATTTAAATTTTTAATAAACAATACAAATAGATTTCAGCAAAAATAGACTCCATCCTTTCTTCTCCTACCCATTAATTATAAATTTAAAAAAAGAAACTAATAGATAGAAACCAATTAAATGTAGAGAGAGATAAAAGAGATGAATATTCATAGAGTTGCTAAACCTACCACCCTCTTTAATGTGATTATGGAACCTTGGCATTTAAATTATCTCTTTTTTTTTAATTGATCTGGATATAAGAATCATTTCCCCTTAAAAAACATACAAGAATTTTCATCAATGTTTTTTTTCTTTTTTTTTGACATTCACTAAAGATTTTCATTTTCTGATGAGTAAGGATTAAAGCATCTTTTTTCCTTATAGAAAATTTAAGGAACATGACTTTGCAACACAATTACTTTCTTTTGGAAATTTATCAAAATACACCTAGAGGTGAACTATTTAACATTGCAAAACGTTTATATAAGGGTGCAACCTTAAAATGTAGAACTAAAGATGCACCTTAAAAATCCATCAAAAAAAGCTGTTCAGATGTTGAAAAACCCTCTAATTGCTATCTCGTCATCAAGATGTACAACTATGGAAAAAAAATAAAAAAAAATTTGAGTGCTAAAAACAGTGCACCTTGCAACACGTTATCTAGAACATCCATTTTCAAGATTTTGATATGTTTACAGATCTACTTGATTTCAACCATTTTTGGAATTTAAAATTTTATAATTAGTTATAAAAATAGATTTTGAGAAAATCCTAAGAATGTTTTACACCAAAATTACACGTTATGATAAAATTTAGAGGTGCACCTTAATTGGATTGTTTAAGGTTGCAACCTTATAGAAACCACACCCTTTAATATTTCACCTACCCTTTATGGATATGCATCTAAACTTGTCTTCTTAATGAAGATCCATCTAACATGGGTTTGAATTATATTGAACAAAAAACAATGGGATAGGATCTTTTATTCATAGTTTCTAAACGGTCAAATGATGCGACAGTGAAATTAGAAAAGACAACCAAGCAATGATAGGCCACTGGACAAAAAAGACGGCCTTGTGAGACAGAACCCAGAGACAAAAGATACATAGAGAGAGGGGAACCACTATTCAAATCAGAGGAGGCTACCACTACCAGATTGTGGGTGAAAGACATGAACTATTGAAAGGTAATCTAACTGGGAGCTTCTGTCCAACATAGACCATACAACAGGAATAACCGAGTGAGCAACAGTGCTTGGCAAACCAAAACTCCACTAACACGAAGGAAAGGAGAATGAAGATAGACTCTTTATTCTACATGTTTAATCCGAGGCTAAAAGGATTCTTAGATCGCAATGGTGGAGATCTAGAAGTTCAGTATTGACCAAACAAAATGGAATTAGGAGAGAAGACCATTCATCAATAGACACGAATATGTTTGGAGATTTACAAGTTCAGTATTGACCAAACAAAATGGAATCAGGAGATAAGACCATTCATCAATAGACACGAATATGTTTCGATCAGAATAAGGGGCATTCCTCTACATGCCAAGCCTATAAGTGTTGTATAGGGAAGGCATATGGAAGGGTAAACCAAGCATACCAAAACAATTCAAGAGGACATAATGGATGTTGTTCGACTAAAGGTCAAGATGATGGATGTAAAAGAATACCAAAAAGGATGCTCTTGGCCGCATTCCTCTACATGCCAAGCTTATAAGTGTTGTCTAGGGAAGGTATATGGAAGGGTAAGCAAAACATACCAAAACAATTCAAGAGGACCTAGTGGATGTTGTTCGACTAAAAGTCAAGAAGATGGATGTAAGAGAATACCAAAAAGGATGCTCTTGGCAGTGGTAGAGAGAATTTCAGCTGAGTTATAAGGAAAAAGGGTGAACCCTGCTACCATCATGAAACAAGCACAAAAGAAAATAAGCAGGGTGCAGGACATAATGAAAGGAGAGAGAAGTACGATAAAGAGCGGTAGCAGCACTAGTGAACCAATTTAATCAGTGAATGGAGGAATTTATAGAGAATAAGAGAGCGGAAACAAGATCTGCTGGATCGAGAAGAGATTCCAGTCTGGCAGCCACATCAATGACCACAAAAAAAATGACAATCTGTTTGGATGTTGCTCAATCCTTGAGTGAATGCTGGCAGTGAGATATTTCTAAGTGCTCTGAACCCCATCCAATCCAAAAATAAAATGTCATGGAGGTTTCTAATGTCGAATCACAATCAACTAGGGCAGAAATAAAGCATTGCATTGAACTCTACTTTGGTGTCAAGGTAGTAGCTATGACTAGTCATCGACTCCCGGTCCCAGGAAAGGGTAGAAGAATTGGATCTGTTTTTCCAACCTGGCAGCACATTCAAATTAGCTTCAGAGGCATTTTGAATTTGAATTCAAATTGAAATCAAGACGAGAGAAATATGGCAAATATTCAGCCAAGTGAAGTAACAGAAGACCGATTGGGGGAAACATGGCCTACACCAAGCATGTTATCAGAGGGCTTCAATGGCTCAAAACAATTGATGCATAGGCAGGCAGATTGTATGGCAATTGTAACATCACCATTAAAGCAAATACACTGGGATCCAAATCCATCAAGAGAGTGGACAGCAGAAAACCCCAAACCCACTCACCCACATAATCAAAGGACAGTCCTGCAGCAACCAAGAAATGAACAGGATCGTAATGTGTGGAGCAAATTGGCTGAAGTAAACCAAACACAATCAAGGGCCCAAAATCATGAACAGATCATTGGTTGCAATGGAAGCAACATCATTTCATTGAAGAGCAGGAAGAAACATGTGTGGCCACAGACAAAGCGGAAATCAATACCCATCCCAAACAAAACCTTTTACCCCATCCCCCTCGAGAACCTCGCCTGGATAAGAAAAACTGCAACTTTGGGTTTTCTCCCCATAGGCATTACAGCGACGAATATACAACATCTTCAGCTCAGTAGAATAGAAAGAATAAACCCAACAACGTTTCAGGCATTATCCAACAACAAACTCAGGCTTGTCTGGCGCTCAAACGTCATATATCCTCTAGCAATAGCACAGGTTCCATCGGGAAGGATTGGGAGGACCAAATGTCCACAGTGAAGGAAATTAAAGGAGGATATCATATACGCACCAGACGATAAGACATGATCCAGCTCCTTCATGCCCTTTCCGGCTCCTTCATGCCCTTTCCGGCTCCATCTCCAGTACCACTACAGAAGTAACAAGTAAGGTATGGGCTAATGGTTGGGGAAAAGAGTGCTCTGGCCTATTAACCAACTTGAATCTGAACAGGAGAGAGGAGAATGGTCCTCCCTGGCTGACAAATGTGAGCAAAGTAGGGAACAGTAGCAAGTATGGAACCTAAATAAAGAGTGCATCCGCGATGGTACATGACAAGACAGCCATTGCCTTTCCACTAACATGTCCAACAAGAGGTTCTCGGAGTAATCGTTATGAAAATTTGAAAGGAGTGGCTATGTAGAACTCAAGGTAGCAAATTAAAAAAGAAAAAAAATATCTTCAATATACCTGAATTTTACTTACATGGGCCACCATACACTGTTGTAAATCAAAATTAGAACCATAAATACAACCTAAGATCTTTATTTTACTCTCAAAGTAAATAGAAATCATCCAAGAGCAATAACCAATCTATCACTATAGTTTTGAGTGCAAAATATGTTCCTAGAAATTCATATAAAATATGACTGAAAAATAGTTCAATTAAATGAAAAGACTCACTAGATAATGCCTGGAGTGGCCCTCACAAGGCTTGATACACCCCACACTCGATTCTCTAACCGATGGGGCACTTTTAATCCTTTAGGTCATGCTGGAATTACGAGATAGGGAACTTTTTCAGACAATACCTTTCAATCTAGGGCTTTAGAGAGAGTAGGAACCTATTTAGGGTTTGTAGGAACCCTCTAGGATCAAATTTAGCACTACGCTTGAGGGTTTATTTCTCTCTTGGCTGGCTGTACCTCTCTTCTTCTTCAAAAAACAGCAACGTCCCAACCTAGGGTTTCAAAGTGCCACCGCCCTTTTTTTCTTTTGTGGGTGGCGTGACTCTATGAGGCAAGAGGGGAGAGAGAGGCTTGATTAAACTTTGAAAAGAGAGAGAAATATTGGGGAATGGAAGAAAAGAGAGACATTTTTCTTGGGCGTCAGGAAGAGATATTTTGGCATGAGAGAGAGAGGTATTTTGGCATGAGAGAGAGAGAGGTTATGACATCATTTTATAGAACTAAACACAGGAGACTACACAATTCTTCTGGCCTACAAACATCATCCCTGGGCATCTCCGACCTCAACAAGGGATGACCCACTGTAAACCCTTCTCGGTAGTGCCACATGCCC